TGTAGCATTTCACTAGTTTCTTCCTCAAATTTAAGTCCAGTTTGCTGGTAAAAAGATTCTTCTTCTTGCTAAATGCAGATTTTGCCATGGCAATCCTGGATTTAATTTCACTAGTACACCTTGCATCATCTGTTAACAGGCTACCCAAATATTTAAAACATTTCACATTCTCCATTTGTTTTTGGTCTATGTTTATTGTTAGTGGGGTTGGTTGTCTCGAAATTTTCATTACTTTTGTTTTCTCCACATTCATTTCCATGCCATAGCACCTTCCAATTTCAATTAGTCTATCAATCATGCCCTGTAGCACAGTTTCTTCCTTAGCCATTAACACAAGGTCATCTGCATATTTCACAGTTTGAATAATTTGCCCTCCTACTTTGAAGTCACCGAGCCCATCCAGAGCTTCCTTGGTAAGGCATTCGCTGTACAAGTTGAACAGAATTGGTGATAAACAGCATCCTTGTCGAACTCCTCTTCCAATCTGCACACTTCCTGTCTCCCCCCTGTCCAGTCGTACTCTAACTTTCTGATCCATGTACAATTTGCTAATCAATCTTCTTTCATGCCAATCGATACCTGTTTCTTTCAGGATCTGCATTAATTTGGTCCAGTTTACCCGGTCAAATGCCTTCTGCCAGTCTATGAAGCAAACACACAGTTCTTCATCTATCTCCAAAGTTCGTTCCGCTATAATTCTCATCATCCCAATTGCATCCCTGGTTCCTTTTCCTCTTCTAAATCCAAACTGATCTTCTCCAAGTACATCCTCTATTTTCCTTTCAATTCTTCTTTTAAGTATCTTTGCTATTATCTTTGCTGTATGTGCAATAAGACTTATTGTGCGATGGTCGCTGCATTTTGTAGCTTTTGTCTTTTTCTTTAAGGCAATCATTGTAACTTCTGTAAAGTCCTTGGGCCACTCTCCAATTTCATATATGGTGTTCATTAATTTTGTCAGTGTTTTCAGGCCACCTTCTCCCAGTAACTTGAGCACATCTCCAGGTACATCATCATCTCCTGTAGACTTTCCCTTCCTCATTTCCCTGATAGCTTTTTCCACCTCACTTTATAAAATATATGGTCCTTTCTCGTCTGTATCTTCTTCTTCTTCCAGTTCAACTTCTAATGTTTCTGGCCGATTAGGTTGATCATATACTTCTGTAATATACTTTTCCCAAATTTTCAGCACTTGCCTCTGATCTACTATTCTATTCCCCTGGGAGTCTTCGATGCCAATATTTTGAATCCCGTGTTTCTCTTTCCATCGTAGTTCTTTTGTTTTCATGTACATCAAATGATAACGTCCTGTTCTTTGAAATTCTGTAATCTCATTACATATCTTCTCAAGATATTCCTTTTTGGCACTGTCTGTGGCTCTTTTCAATTCATTCCTCAGTCTCCTGTATTTCCTCCTGCCTTCTTCATTGTTGACATTCTTCCATTTCCTTCGCTCCTCCATTTTACTCATCATCTCCTGTGTAACCCAGAGTTTTCTTGCTATCTTCTCAACTTTACCAACCAAATCACTGATAGTATCTAACATGCATTCTTTAACTGTTCCACTGCATTTCAGCATTTCCGCTTTCACCTTCAGTTGCACCGAGTTTCTCTTCTAGGGTCTCCTGCATGCTTTGTCTTTGAGCATATAACTTCTCCAAATCCCATCTAGGTCTGC